CATCTTCAAAAAAGGGAAAAGGGAGGACCCGGGCAATTATAGGCCCGTCAGTCTTACCTCAATCCTGGGGAAGCTCTTTGAGAAGATCATCAAGGAGCACATTTGTGATGGGCCGGCATCCGAGATGATGCTCAGGGGCAATCAGCATGGATTTATTAGGGGGAGATCATGTCAGACCAACCTGATTGCCTTTTATGATCAGGTCACAAAGGCCATGGATGCAGGTGTCGCGGTGGATGTAGTCTTTCTGGACTTCAGCAAGGCCTTTGACACCGTCTCTCACCCCATCCTAATTAATAAACTAGGCGACTGTGGCATAGATGCCTACACGGTCAGATGGATTGCAGATTGGCTGAAGGGTCGCACTCAGAGGGTGGTGGTGGATGGATCATATTCGACTTGGGGGGAGGTGGGTAGTGGAGTCCCCCAGGGCTCGGTCCTGGGGCCTGCGCTGTTCAATTTCTTCATCAGCGATCTTGATGTTGGGGTGGAGAGCAACCTGTTTAAATTCGCTGATGACACCAAAATTTGGGGGGAGGTGAGCACGCTAGCAGGGAGAGAGAGATTGCAGAAGGATCTGGATAGGTTACAGGGGTGGGCAGACAGGAACAGGATGCGTTTCAATACGGACAAGTGCAGGGTGCTGCACTTGGGTAGTAGGAACCAGCAGCACACTTATAAGATGGGGAGCTCCCTACTTGAGAGCACGGAGGCGGAAAGGGATCTTGGTGTCATTATTGACTCCAAGATGAACATGGGCCGACAATGCGAGGTCATGGTTGGCAGGGCTAACCGGACCTTGTCGTGCATCCACAGGTGCATCTCGAGTAGAGCCAGGGAGGTGATCCTCCCCCTCTATGCGACGCTGGTCAGGCCGCAGCTGGAGTATTGTGTCCAGTTCTGTGCGCCCCATTTCAGGAGGGATGTGGACAACATGGAGAGGGTCCAGAGGAGGGCCACCCGCATGATCCGGGGACAACAGGGCAGACCCTACAGTGAGAGACTGCGGGACTTGAACCTATTCAGCCTCCACAAGAGAAGGCTGAGGGGGGACCTGGTGACCGTCTATAAACTCACTAGGGGGAACCAGAAGGGTTTGGGGGAGACGCTGTTTCCCCTAGCCCCCGCTGGCATAACAAGGAGTAATGGGCACAAGTTGATGGAGAGGAGGTACAGATTGGACATCCGAAAAAACTACTTCACAGTTAGGGCGGCTAGGAGCTGGAACCAACTTCCAAGGGAGGTGGTGCTGGCCCCTACCCTGGGGATCTTTAAGAAGAGGCTGGATACTTACCTGGCTGGACTCATTTGAGTCCCGTTTTTGTTTTTAGGGTGAGTGGTTTTGTTTGTGTTTTTGGGTTGTTCTCCCGCCCTGGCGGGGGGTCGGGCTAGAAGATCTATTAGGTCCCTTCCGACCCTGAAACTATGAAACTATGAAACTATAGTTGTTCAAGATGCCTGTCCTGTCAATTCTGCTTTCTTATCTTCTTACATATTAGTCAAAATAATTTTCTCTGAATTTAAAAAATAACAAAAATATTGAACAATTTGATTTTATGTTAATATTCTGCAGTTATTGAAGTCAGTTCTATTAAAGAGTATCTGCAGGAGAAAATTAATGAGTTTCAGTTCTGAGACATGTTTTAATAAAGGATAATGTGATTCATCAGAGAAACTGAAGTTTGTGAAACTAATTTGAAACCCTATAGTGTTAGGCTATTAGGTCTTCCTAATCTTTAACGTTAAAGATTACTAAGTGTTCATTAATTTTTTCCTTTGGCTTATGCTTCTCTGGGTCAAACAATGATAGCAGTTTTAATTGACAAATACAGACTCATATCTGAAATATGAAGTATGAACTAAAATGATTTCAGATTGAAGTAGAATGCCTTACAGGAATTTTTCTCATTTGCTGCACTGCAGAGAAATGTGCAGAAAGACAGTGATGCTGTCACAGAGCACTGAGGTGCCCTGATCCCAAAGAGGAGAAATTGCTAGGGAGGAAGCCCTAACAGGGAATAAGGAGCCCAGCTGTGGGTTGCCAGGGCAACCAGAGAAGGTCAGCTGACCAGAAGGGGCAGGGCTTCGCTCCCTTATAAACCCTAGGGGCTGGGGCCAGAGGCAGTTCCCTGCCAGCAGCCATTGAGGAAGGAGCTCTCTGCCATGGAAGAGAGGAGACACCTGCTGAAAGAGCGGCGCTTGACTGCTGTGGGATGAAGAACCCCAGTAGGCTTGAGCGTGATCATAGCCGGGCGGCTTTTGTTTATGTTGTAGCCTAGGGGCTTGTGCTTGTGTTGCTATTTGTTACACTGGTGGTTTGGGTGAGGCTACGAGGGGTTGGAGGAGGCCTCATAGGGGACCCACAGCAGAGTGGGAACCCCAGCGCCAGTAAGAGTGCAGCATTCGGGGTGTACAAACCCCAGTCCCAGAGAAAGGGGCAGCTGAGAAGCCCCAGAGAGGAGGCATTGCCGAGAAGCCCCAGTGTGGGCAGGGTGAGCCCTGAGAGAGGGCGGCAGTATTGAGGAGCGTCCTGAGAGGGGGCAGAAGCCCCAGAGAAGGGGGCAGTTACTGAGAAGCCCCAGTGTGGGCAGGGTGAGCCCTGAGAGAGGGCGGCAGTATTGAGGAGCGTCCTGAGAGGGGGCAGAAGCCCCAGAGAAGGGGGCAGTTACTGAGAAGCCCCAGTGCGGGCATGGTGAGCCCCAGAGAGAGGGGGCAGTTGCCAAGAGAAGCCCCAGAGAGGGGGCGGCATGACTGAGGAGGCCCAGAGAAGACAGAAAGGGGCCAGATCATAACTAGGATGGGACATACCATCTATTCCATCGTCGAGGTGCGGACTGTGGTATAAGGGAGGAAATGGAGCCGCAGATAGCGCCCCCTGGCAGTGGGGCAGTACAAGGGCAACCTCCCGCTAATTAACACCAATTAATCAATTAACAACAAGGCATGGCAGGCGAGTAGGTGGGCGGTTGCCCCAGGAACAGGTGTGCGGGCCACGTTTAGCTTGGCCCAGAGCGGATACCTGTTACAGGAGGCCTTGCTCAGGCAGAGGAAGGGGTAAGTATCTGGCAGGAAGAGCTGGATGATGCGAGGACTGGAGAACCAGGAATGGGATGAAATTCAGCCGTGGAAAACACCAGGTCACACTTGGGATTAATCACAGAAACTCCTCCTGGAAAATGAAACCTCACCATTTGGAAATGGCAGAGGAAAAGAGAGACTGGGGGATATTAATCGGCTACATGATGACTAATGAGACACAAATGTGTGGCAGCCTTGGAAAAAATCAAGCATCATTTCAGTACAGATCAGAAGATATATTTCCAGTGCAGCTGGGACAGCATTCATAGGGAATTTGTGAGAAGTGCTACCTACAGTGCTGGTTATAGGATGAGGCTTGTCCCTTGCACTCTGGGCATTTTCTGGCCACGGGATACTGCTTTTGTGCTTTCCCCCTAGCTTGCTCCTCAGCCTTTTGGCTAGGAGCAAGTAGGACTAGGGAGCATCTGAACTCCAAGGCTTCTGGGTCTGGGGTTTGCATGTAGGATGTCTGCCATGAATTACTGCGTTCAGTTTTGGACCCCCACTGCAGAAAGGATGTGGACACATTGGAGAGTCCAGCGGAGGGCAACAAAAATGGTTTGGGGGCTGGGGGACAGGACTGGTGAGGAGAGGAGGAAGAAAATGGGCTGATTTAGACTGCAGAAGAGAAGACTGAGGGGGGATTTGATAGCAGCCTTCACCTCCCTGCAGGAGGGCTGCAAAGAGGATGGAGCTGGGCTGTTTTCAGTGGGGGCAGATGGCAGGACAAGGAGCAATGGGCTCAAGCTGCAGCAAGGCAAGTTGAGGTTGGATATTAGGAAAAACTCTCACTACTAGGGGAGTAACACACTGGAACAGGCTCCCCAGAGAAGTTGTGAAATCTCCATCCTGTCTGATCCCCCAATTTATTTTCCATGCTGTAGCAATGGGAAGGAGACAAATTCAAGGCCAACCTCTGATAATTAAATTTCATACCTGGAAAATTATAACAAATTGATAAATTTTCCATCTATGGAAGCTAATTATTGGGGGTTCATCTTATAATCAGGGTTGTCTTCTTTTCAAGAAAATAATAGTAGTTGCAAGCTGCCATAAAGAAGAGGGAGAAACCTTATTCCCTTGACACAGAGGGCAGAGCCTAGAGCACTGGGTTTGCACTAAAGCAGAACAGGCTTGGATCAAATCCCAGAAACCCTTTCTTGCTGGATGAGCAGCAGGACCGTGGGACACGCTGCCCGGGGAAACAGTAGGATCCCTTTAACTGGAAGTTCAGAAGAGGCAGGACAGGCATCTGCATACACGGTGAGGGATCAGGGCACCCAGCCTCGGAGCAGAATGGTGAGAGCCCTGGGGTCCCTGGGACCCTGCGATGCTAAGCACAACCTTGAACTTAATGCACACAGGGATCACTTTTCCCACGACTGGAGGAAAGACACCTCTGGGGCAGCTGCTGGGCAGCACTGCACAACGGCTTCAGGACAGGAAGAAAGTCAGATGCAGACATCCAGCTAATGTGTGACAGGACAGCAGGGTGAGCATGACGTGGGACAAGGCTGCACCTGCCTTAATGCTGGGGTAGGTGAGGCAGGCAAGCCTATATACACTAAGATGGCAGCTCCCACAGCCCAGCAGCCTCCAGGACCCACTCCCAGGGGCCAGCCTGGACTGGGATGGTGCAGAGATCCCTACTGAACCACCTTCCCCCCCCTGTATTCAGCACCTAGGCATCCTTGGGGGTCTCCCACCTCTATCAAGGGCTGAACAAGCTGCTCCACTTTGCTGGGATCCCAGCCGGGTTTATATGGCTGTAGCTTCTCCCTCATAAAACAAGCTTCCCCAGGGCTCAGCAAAGCTAAATAATTGCACCCACCCCCAGCAGAGCCCAGCTATTGCCAGAGCTGCTGCCACCTCCTCCCCGTGCCCGTGGGCCACACGCCACAGAGGTGAGAAGCTCTGCTCACATGGGATGATGTTCTTGTAGCGGTTCTTGCCCTGGTTGCAGGGCTCCTTCCCAGCGTCGCAGGCATGCAGCAAACCTGAGATCAGCTTCTGCAGGGAAGAAGGAGACACTCCTGGTAAGCAACCCCCAGTTCCCAGCCACACTGTGCCAGGATCCAGGCCCAGCCAAGGCTAGAGGACACTGCACTGCCTCAAAGCACCAGGACCAGAGCTACCGAGGTCGAGGACAGCTGAGTGTGCAACACAAGCAAAGCTACCAGCGCAGAAGAGCAAGATGGTGAGGTCAAGCACCGACCTGATACTCAGCTTCGCACCCAGCTTTCGGCCTCTCAAGGTCTGTGTCTTCTTCTGCCTCCTCCTCCGCTGCCATTTCTGCTCTCCTAAACCTCTTCAGAGTCTCCAGCAGTTCAGGCACCAGGATCTGAGTGTTCAGCTTGCTTGCCCCTATTGCATACACAAACCAGGGGTTAGCACATCTCTGAGCCTGGCTGTGTGGAGGCGTGGGGCCGGGTGTGCTCCCCATGGGAAGGGCCCCATCCAGGGAGGGTTACCAGCCCCTCTCCCTGGAAGGCACTGCAGCTGCCCTGCCTGTGCTGGTGACCCCTCCACCAGCATGTCTAAGAGCCAGGCAGGTCTGACACTGGTCTCTGCTCATAGCACACCTGCTCGACTCCTCCTCAGGGGGATCGTGCCATTGCTCTCATGGTCCTTTGACTTCTTCCGCTTCCTCCTGCAAAATGGCATTGTGAGACCCATGGAAAAGCGTAGAAGAGACAAAGCGGGGAGGGAGCATCAATGCCCAACACCTCCCTGCCAGGGGCAGATGCTTCTCTGAGCTCTTGCAACCATCATCTTTAATAAGCCAAGGCAGTTCCCTGCAAGAAACCACAGGCACGTCTCTTGCCTCAAATGTCCTGGCCCTGCTGCATGCTGGGATAGGTAGCCTCAGCTCCACAGCCCTCCTGCCAGCCTGCACAAATGAGGTGTAACCCTCGTTAGCTGCCAGTACAGCTGCAGGCCAGACTCCCTGAGGTTACATCTTCCTTCATGGACCCATCAAGGGGCGGCTCAGCTGTGATAGCTGTCAGGGGGAGCAGGTACCCCCAATACTTCCACCACAGCTTAGGCCCTGACACAGCAGGGTCCAGATCACTCTTCATCAGTGGCTGGATGGTGCTGGGGTTTTAGTCTATAGGAGGGGCTCTGCATCTGACAGCCAGACTCCTGAGTCACCCCTTCCCTGGGCACTGCAATGAGGGGGGAGTTCAGTCCTTAGGAGTATCAAGACCCATTCATGGTATCGGTGACCTGACTGGTGCAATAAGTCCAAGTAGAGAGGCTGCCTGTGTGGAGCTGAGCTGTGGGCTGGCCAAAAGGCAGCTTCCCAAGCCCCTTGCCTGCCTTGAGCATGGACAGCTGCAGCTTCCCTCAGCATCTGGGGCAAAGATGGGGTGAAGCCCCCACTCCAGGCTGGGACAAGTACCCTTGAGGTCTAAGGCACGGCAGTCTCTGCTGGGGAGCAGGGAACTGGGCAGGAGATGCCCTCAAAGGACCGACCCACTTGCACTGACCTGGAGAGCAAGACCAGCACAGCCATAGCTACCAGGAGCACCAGGACCGCCACCACCACAGCCAGTGCTACAGCTTTACTCAGAGGCTCCTCCTTCGAGACCGACCCTGCAGCAAACACAACACCAGAGCCAGGCTGTGGCACAGCTCCTGCAATGAGCTGGGACTCGCATTTCTACGAGGAGACCCACAACACGCACTCCCTTGTTACCATGCTGGAGGGCAGGAAGGACAGGCATGTGCCTAGTGTCTGCCCTTTGCAAAACTGAGCTGGAGGCAGCCCGATGCGAACCCCAGAGCTCTGCAGTGTCAACACCCATGGGCTTTCTGTGTGCCCATCCTGTTTGTACCATCGTAGGGCAGCGATTCTCAACCTGGCTGCACCCTGGGGTGCCATGAGATCTTTTGAAGGGTGTCCTGAGGTGTGAGGAGATGAGTAGATAAGCACAGGATCAGGTTTGTCCCTGTTTGGAGAATCCCCTTGCCTCCCCAATCTCACCCCCTCTGCAAGGAGGGAAGCATTGTCACAGGTATGTTCATCTTTGAAATGGGGTGCTACTCAATTCACAGGAGTTATATAGGGGGGCTTGAGTCCAATGACAGGGGATTTGGGTTCAAAGAACCGCTGTGAGAGAGGCTCTAACCAAGACCAGGCCCATGGTGCCAGACCCACAGACACCCAGGGAGATAAAGTGTCTTCCCCAAAGGGCTTCCAGTCAAAATAGGCAATAAAGGCAATAGGGAAAAGAGAAAGGACTTCTCCTTGGTTGCAAAGAGGATGGAGCTGGACTGTCCTCAGTGGGGGGCAGATGACAGGACAAGGAGCAATGGGCTCAAGCTGCAGCAAGGCAAGTTGAGGTTGGATATTAGGAAAAACTCTCTCACCAGGAGGGTGGTGAAGCGATGCTCCGTCCTGACCCAGATGAGTGGGTTAAATTGGAAGCAGAGGCCTGTTCCCTCCCCACCGGGATTCACAGACCTGGGGCCACCAGAGGCCCTTGGGAAGATCCAGCCCCGACCTCCTACATCACATGGGCCCAGGGGCTGCCCCATTTATTTCTGCCATTCACATGCTGCCCTTCCCAGCACAGGCTGAGGGTGTCTCACCACAACACAACAGAGCAACTTGAAAGGGCAACGAGAATAAACGAGACAAAATCAAGGAGAGAATACATGAATCCACCTCCCAACCTAGCTTTGGCTGCTGAATGCCTGCCCAAGCAGGAAGCTATTGCAGCACTTCTGGAAGGCGTCCAGGTTTGGGCTCCATTGGCATCAAGAGGGAGGCAGCTCCAGAGCTGAGGATTGCTGCTGAGAACGTTTCCCCGTGTTTTCCCCAAGTGGACATGCTGAACCTCATGGGAAATTGCTCTTGGCTGATGCTAGGGATTGCAGGTGTGGAAAGCAGGAGGACCCATATGCGTGCAGGGCCAAAACTGTCGAGGGCCTTCTAGGTCACAAGCACCTTGAATTGTGCCTGGGAACGGCAGAGGCTGGAGGACTGATGTGCTCCGGGACAGCCACCCCCGACAAAGGGGCAGGACTGGGGTATTGCCCTGAAGACCGAGCACTGCATGTTGGGTCCGACAGCCCCTGTGGGCAGCAGCTCCCTATTCAGGACAACTGTGCACCCCAGCTACCCATGGGGTGGCCCTCGCACCCTGCCAGGCTTCAGGCTGCTCCCAGCCGGAGCCGAGATGCAGCCGAGCAGCAGGGTTGGCTCTACAAATTCATGCAGCTCCATGTCTTCCCTTGCCCCCTGCCCCTGTGGGCTAGACCTGCCTGCCCAGCTCTGAACCAGACCTGACCCCGCGGGCACCAGAGCTCCTAAAAAGGGAAGAATGTGCCCAGGATTTCTCCCTGCCTCCAGCTCAGAGCCAAGTCTGGGAAAGGACTGGAGCGACAGCAAGAAATGCCACTCACCAACAGAGAAGTCGTAGTGCACGCAGCTGGCTTTCTCCACCTGTGGAAGAGCAGAGGCAGGAGTTACAACCATCTCTGCCCTCTGGAGCAAGAGCAATCTTCACACAGCACCCAACACGTCTCAAAGGCTCGTTATGTCTCTCTGGAGGAGCCGGGGCTAACTCTGCAGATGGGGAAACCGTGGCAGACCAGGGTCAAGTGCTTCTGCACCCATTTGGCATAGTGCTTGGTTCTGAGAGAGACCAGAGCCTCAAGATGAATAGCTTGGGTTAGATGAGTTTGTCCCCAGACCGCACAGCCAAGCAGCAATACAGAAAAGCAGCCAAGGAAGCATCCCCTACAGAGGAAAGCAGCTCCCAGCCTCCTGCTTTCCTCTGTAGGGGATGCTCCCTTGGCTGCTTACCCTGTGCAAGCCTGTCCCACAGGAAGTGGGGAAGCCCCACACCTAAAGATATGAGCTCTGAGCTGGACAAGCTTGGAGCAAAACCCCCAGCTTAGCCCGGGGTTTGGAGGGCAAAGGGCAGAGCAGAGGGGACCTGGGTGCTCTCCCAGGACAACCCGCCACAAGGCAGAGGGGCTGGCTGCTTTCAGCCTCTGCCTCAGCACAGCCAGGAGGGGCTGAGCCCTTCTACAGGAGTGACCCTGCCACGCTGCTTGGACATGCTTCACCCCATCCAGCTCTTCGCTTCCCCAGCCCAGGGCATCAAGGGCAGCTCCTGGCATGGCCAGGAACCCAGGGGAGGGGTGGGCTCGCTGTCACTGGTACATGGAGTCCTAGACAATGAGGGTTGGAAGGGGCCTCAGGAGTCATCTAGTCCTGGTCTTGCTCTGAGCAGGGGGTTGGACTAGATGGGACCTCCTGAGGTCCCTTCCAGCCCACATCTCCTATGATTTGTATTCTAATCCAACCCCCTGCTCACAGCAGGACCAGCCCCAACTACACCATCCCACCCATGGCTTTGTCTGACCAGGCCTTAAAAACCTTCAAGGATGGAGACTCCCCCACCTCTCTGGGTAACCTGTTCCAGTGCTTCACCACCCTCCTGGTGAGAACCATTTTCCTAATATCCAACCTCGACTTCCCTTGCTGCAGCTTGAGCCCATTGCTGCTTGTCCTGTCATCTGCCCCCACTGAGAACAGCCCAGCTCCATCCTCTTTGCAGACCCCCGGCAGGGAGGTGAAGGCTGCTATTCAATCCCCCTCGGTCTTCTCTTCTGCAGACTCAATTAGCCCATTTCCCTCTGTGGAGGGCCAGTAGGGGCGCTCCTGCACTGAGCCACCCACCTCACTGCACCCCACCAAAAAACACACTTCGAGCATCTCCCCTGGGGCACCTACGTCTGGCCAACCCCCTTCCTGGAGCACACTTGCAAGCCTGGGGTAACTGCTGCCTCCACAATGGCTGGGGTCTTTGTTAGGACTCTGTGCCACCCGGGGTAAACAGACCCTGTAGACCTTGGGGCTGCTTAACCCACGGGGGGATTTTGGGTGCTTCTATTAGCCTGAAGCATTCACAAGCAACCTGCAGTACAGGAAGAAAGCAAAAAGCCAAGCCCACTCTAGCTAGCCTAGCTGGTCCTTTCCCTCTTAAGCACACGCAGAGAGGAGGCATGCTAAAACAGATAGATTTATTGATCAAAGAGGAATAGGGTGAGGAAGGGATACAAAACAACAGAATATAGAAAGAAAATCACCTTGTGCAAAACAGTGCAGGCTGGTTAGTTAGCCTTTGGATACACGACTAGAACGCTTAAACCTAAGTTCTTGGCTAGATTTCAGGTAAGTTACTCCCATCCATGTCCAGAGATTTCTGGAGGCCCATAGCTTGATTCAGTGACCAGAAGATGTCTCCCCCTCGAAGATGGAGGGACCCTTTAAATAACCTTTCTGACCTCATCACCTGGACCCAGCCAGAATCAGGTATGTTCTGAGCACCGCTGATGCTGACCAGTGAGTTTGAAACATGCCAGCCCTCACCATGAGGAGTGACCACTGCCTTCGGACCACCCCTCCAGGTGAATGGCAGGAGGGCTACACCCTCAGCCTCTCCTCACCACTCATGCCCCCTGTGGCAGAAATGCCCTGTCGGTGCCCCTCTCCAGAGATCTGTCTCAGCCAGCCTGGGAGGCGGCGGTTGATCCCTCACAGCGGGGATCTCCCACCTGGTCTGCAGACAAAAGCCTGGCGCCTGGGAGGCGATGCTCTGGTCACCTGGGCAAGGGGGGGGAAGACCCGGCCCTGCGCGCGGGCCCAGGTAGCCAGGGATGCTTGGCAGATTGGTCGGCTTGTGGCCAGTATTGGCAGCTTTGATTGGACCGGGCTGCTGAGGTCAGGGAGGTGATAAAAAGGCCTGGGCCAGGAAGAAAGGCA